TGTAAGGGCGGGGCACAGGTTCAGGGGTTTTCTCGGCCTGCGTGAGAATATCTTCTTCCTTAAGCACAAAGTTGCGGGGTTGTCTACCCACCGTAGGCCGAGTTTTTTTTAACAGACGTGTGCAAACGATGCAAATTTCGTTTCTGCTACTCGTAGCCAGCTTTATATGTCCAATGAAAAGGATGATAACATTTTCGATGTACAATAAGCAAGTATATATTTAACCGTCCCAGGCACACATCCATTCTTTTCAGTAGACAGTGAAAGCAATTACTTGTAAGATGGTTCTAGAGAAAGAATCTTAATTAGTCAGTGTCTTTCTTGAGTATTGTGACTTCAAGCAACAAATTTTCCCTACCATGCGTAATTTGTTATAATATGAATGAAGTGTATATGGTCATGTTACAATCAATTCACAAAAAAAAAGTTTATTCTACACTACTACGACAGTAGCAACTACTAGAGTAAAAAACTTCACCATATAAATCCGCGTCTCTTTTTTCTCTGAATCAAGAGCTCTTGCTAATGAACAGTGGAATATATAGATGAAATCTCACATATATATATACTGACGCGTTATTGTGGAATTAACAAACTGGGTTCAATTTGCATTTTCCTTACATATTAATACTAGATATAAGAGGAATATATAGCAAGCATCTTCATCTATATTTGTACACACCCAATAATTGTACACACGTCTAGTCAATTTTCTAACCAAATGCCACTTTCATCTGCTGAACATTCAGCGGTCGTATAGTCTACTAGGCTTTGGTGCATTAATTTCCCTTCCGTGACAAAGATGACAAAGATAGCTAGGATACATGCATCATTCTTCGATCTCATCATCAAAGGACAAACAACAACAGTCTCTAGTGTACCAACTTCGCAAGCGACACTCCTTTTGACCTCTTATAATAAGTACCAGCAATCAAGCACAAGAAGACTAAGTAATAGTAACAATCTTCGACCTACCTAGCTACCTACCTGTCGTATCTTTTGCAAAGCCAACATAGCTATGCGTACTCATACCATAACGTCTAGCTAGGGACTATTTGGAATTTAAGAGTTTCACATGAAATGGTTTGATCCCGGCTGAGTTTAAGAAACAGTTCCAATGTTGAAATCAGAGCCTTCACAGTATTAGTGTATATTTTCTCGGTCCCAAAAAGATTTTACTTCTAGCTCAAATAGTAGGTCTTCATTTTGACCATCTTTTTATAAAAAATATATATATAAATATTTATGATATCAAATAAGTACTATTGAATTCATCATGAAATAAATATTCACAGTATTCCTATATAGAATCATAACTACTGATACTGTTTTTAAAAATTAGTTAAAATTAAAATAGTTTGATTCGGATTAGATAAAATGTGCACTCTTTTTTAGGACGCATGGAGTGTGGGAGTGTTTGAATAAGCCAAAATGGTTGCACTGGAGCTGCACACAATACTTTATGTGAGTCATGGGCGGAGGGGGGCGCAGGGCTGCGCCCCCTCCTCCTAGTGTATAGGATATTTATTACATGCACTCTAAATCACTATAGCTACATAAAAATTACTCCCTCCATCCTCGAGAAGCATGTGTGTTTATTCTGGGATGGAGGGAGCAGCTAAGTATATTAATATCATCTATTGATTTAGTAAAGGGGCTAGTGAAAATCTATTTATATAATGGTAGACTAGTAGCCAAGATTATTTCCAATGATATTATTAAATCTTATGATCTAGTCAGTACTCATCAAGTTAATTAAATTCAAGTTAGTGGAGATGTAACTAAAATACCTTTCTTTTATATTACAAATATACGCTACATCATTTTTGCTATGCGTGCTATGAATAAATCAATATATATGCGTATGTATGATTATATATACCTTTATTTCATATTTATTTTACTATTCCAGATTTTTATTGATACTCGGTAGGTTGGCACCTGGTAGGGCGGCCCTCTCTGTATCTAAATCCTGACTCAGCTGAGTACACCTAGAGTAAAATTTGCTGCAACAGTCATTGCTTTAGTACAAGCCAACAGAGCCCCTATATATTTCCTGCTTGAATTCTAAAACGTAGCTTGTTAGTGTGTTTTTTTTATTTCAAAAAAGAGGTCCTACTGAGTTGCCGAAAAGCTCCAGAAGTTTCACAACCCGCTGCAGCGCATTTGCCCGGCCCCTCGGATTCTGTCGCCCGATCTTCGCCAACACACGTAGGCACTAGCGTAAGAACTCGCCAAGAAATCCAGCGAAAGGGAGGAGGGGAGAGAGCACGAGGCCGCACTTGGCTTGAAGCAGACAGCAAGAGTGCAGCAGCTGGTGGCCCACGAGCAATAGCTTGTAACATCCCCGAGTGGCCGAGTGACTGGACCAGCGGGACACGAGCGCGCGAAAGCAACTGAATCGTTAACAATTCCGAGGAGGCTTGTAGCTAGAGCGTGAGCGAGCAAGTAGTAGGAACGCTGGCCTTCAAGTAGTGGCCGTGGACATTGGACAAGTGCAAGTGTATCATTAGAGAGAAGAAGAAGAGGAGGAGGAGGAGGAGGAGGTCAGTGGCTTGTCAGGGTGAAATGGTCACCTGCAACTTGACATCTTTTGGAGGCCATGGCCATGGACTGGGCGCGTCACCGTCAGATTTGGTGAAACCAGGACAGGGCCCCGGGGGAAAGCTTGTTGAATAGATAAGGTGCGTTGGTTGGGTGATCCCAATCAGCGCTTTGTTTTATGGCCTCACTGATGGGGGTCTCTGCGCGCCCAAAGATTGCTCAGATGGTCACCCAAATAAAGTATTTGCGAAATGAAGCGGCCACCAGGGCTCATCAGTCATCACTGGTGGAAGCACTGCTGCTTTGCTCTGGCCTCTGGGAGAAAAAAGGCACTGAATATTTGGGCAGCCGGCAGCAAAGCGAAAAAATAATGACAGCATGTGTGATGGATGCATGGCTGTCATGCTCATGAGGTGATGATATTCACTCTGGGTGGTCGCTGTCCGCTAGAGGTAATGCTCGAGTTCTTTTTGCTGGGGGAAGGTGACCAAAGTGACATGACAGTGCTGTTTCATGACACTGCGAAAGGATGGAAGCACCAGTGATTGGTAGATTGCGTGGAATGGTGCTGGAATTGCAGGACTGATGTAATGCAAACGCAGGATGATGAAACCCTGCTCCAGTGTCGAATGTCGACAAATATGTTCCATACCAAACAAGGATACCATACCCAAGCAGAAAGGTGAGCATTGACAAACTTCGACACCGAACTTGGTTTCTCTATATGTATAATAATCCAGTGTCTTCTGATTAACACCACCAACTTGGATTGTGAGAACTGATAGCTCAAAAATATCAGCGTAAATAACCACCTCTTCGTCATGTTATATTATATGGCATGTGCTGATGCAGACGCCCTGCTCAAGTCTTATGTGAAACCAGGCATCCGGGTCTGCTTTGATCCTACATTTCAACTCAGCACTCAGATTAAGCTCTAGAGAGCATAGTTTTTAAGTCGTCGCCTAGGCATCGCCTAGGCGTCCAAGCGCTGAAAAAAGTCTGGGCGTCCTCGACGTCATGACCAAAACCAGCAAAATGAGGGAGCAGGGGAGGGAGGAGACATAGGAAGAACTAGAGGAGAGGAGGACCAGGCAAGGCTAACCACTAATCTCTGCTCCCATCCCCATCAACTCTGCTCCCATCCCCGCCAGCTCAACTCTGCTCCCATCCCCGCCAGCTCTGCTCCCCAGCAAATCTGGGAGGGGCTCTTGAAGGGCAACAGCAGGGGATCTCGCACAGGGATCTAGAAGGAGGGCGGCAGCAGCAATGAGGAAGGGGAGGGGAGATCTAGAAGGGGGCGACAGCAGCAGTGAGGAAGGGGAGAGGAGATCTGGAAGGAGGCGGCTCCAGCAGTGGATACTGAGAAGGTGTTCGAGAGGGAGAAGAAGCACTTGGAGAGGAGCAGTGGCAGCCCTAGATAGTTCAGGATAGTTGGGGAGGGCTTTTATGGGCTGTCTGTTGGACTGAGCCTTTTATGTTCCTTGTCCTTCTTCTTTTACTTTTTCATTTTTCTTTTTTATCCCTTCTCCATTCTCCTGCCTTGAACATATGGCGTCGCCTTGCCTCGCCTTATGATCGCCTAGGCGATTGGAAGAGAGTGGCTCGCCACGTCTCGCCTTAGCGCCTTAATAACTATGCTAGAGAGTTACAGCTTATTCAGCACTTATAACAAAAGAGTACTAACAGACCCAGTTCAAATCCTTCAATAAAAGTTCCAGCACCTCGCCTTGCGGGAGAATAGTTCAACGAGATGGCTACAATTGGCTTCTCTGATAAAATTGCACATAAAGGACAAGATAAAGCACCAACTGGCATAAGATCATAATTAATTGTGTGACGCTATGCTGTCTCGATAAAACAAGTGGAAGTGGAGTACAATGAATGCAAGTACAGAAGTAGCATGATTAAACACTACTTGCACAATGGGATCAAAAGCACAACTATTGTGGTTTTAGATTACATCATGTGTTGTAGGGTCCAAGGTTTATTTCCGGTCAGATTCATCCTTTAATCAAAAGCAACATTAAGGGCTTGTCTGAATTCGCAGGGATCTGACCCAATCTTTTCATCCCAATAAACAGGGATCAGCTCTAGTCCCTGTCTATCTAAACAAGCCCTAAGAAACCCTAAGAAGTAAGAACCATACATGTTATCTGCAACTGTAGGCCTGCAAAGTTACCAAGAAACATGCCCAAATGCTAGTTCTTTTTCCCTTTAACCTTTTTGATCTCATGTATGTTTCATCTCAACATCTGCTACCAGAAAATGGTATGAAGCTCAGAATTCAAAAGCGGTATACATACACAATTTTGTATAGGGCTTACAATTCACAATGCTTTTTTTTTTTGGTAGGACGCTGAAAACATGTTACCAAAGTGCTCGTGGTCCTGAAGATCGAGTTAAACAATCAACTAATGGATAGGGTGTCCATAATTCTAAATTTTACCTATGTATGGTTATATTGCCTTGGTCTTCTCTAGGGCTGGCTTAACTTCAATCTGTTCCACCCATTTACATAGTATGGTATTTACTTCATCTGGAACTTCATCATGTGGAGCATGCCCTGTTATAATAATATAAAAACTCTTTTTAAGTAAAACAGTAAAAAGGTTAAGATTGATGGGTGTCCGGTGATAAGAGGAGGGGCGCACCTGCATTCAACTCTCTGATTTGAACCTTGCTGCAATGCTCTCGGAGCATGGTAACAAACGCCTCAGATTTTGTAAGGGGATCTTTCATACCCTTTGTTTCAAATAAAGCAAACAAATAAAATTAACCTCCCACACATTAGCATCCACCAAAATTTGGCAAGAGTAGTAGATATGCCAGTGTATGATTTTGTATTGACAAGTGAGGCTTGTCGATGGTATTAGGTACATACCTGGATAACCAATATCTTTCCTCCAAAAGAATCAAATAAAAAGTTAAGAGGAATTGAAAGATTGAAGTTGAATACACTCTCAAGGACTGTTGCAGCACCAGGATCATATGACTGAATCTATTTGTCAAGGAAACCTTCAGCAGACTATGTTGCAGTTAAATGTATGGCAAATATACTGCACAATACAAGGATACAGCTCTTACAATCTGGTCCAGAAGTGGCTTGTCCACCCGTTCGGTTCTCTAAACATGTAAAAGTGTTACATATGGATGGAAGGAACTATTGAATTGAAAGAAAATATAGAAGTGACTTCATAATATACATACTGTAGGATAATATTCTTTAAGAATGCCTTCTGCTCTTGCCCTCAAGAAGAGCAAAAGAAGCTGTGTCTGCAACCTGGAAAGCCATGATGATGTTCGTCTTTCCTGCTGATGTTTGCACTTACTAGCATTTAATTCAATTTGCAACAACAATATATTTTGGAGACAAGAGTTCAATGTCGGAGATTTTGCGTTTCTACTACTTCCAATGACCATTACTGAGAAGTATTCTTTTAATGCAAGCACCATATATATGTATCTTGACTACGAAAATGTAAGCTTCACCTAGATATCACACTTTAGTGTTACAAATGATCTTACAGTTCGGATATCAAGAACAATTTTCACAGTAAGGATTTCCAGAGCTACGTAAGGTTGATGCGCTCCATAAAAGCACGTCAACAGGGGTAATTAATATTAACCAACAGATTCAATTTGTAGGGCACACTTTTTTTTCAATATAAGTTGTAGCCAACAGGAACATGCAAATGTATGGGACAGCTGCATGCACAAATCTATTAGCTCCACAAATTGATATGATGACAGTTGCAACAGCTATGTAAGGTTGATGTGCATCAACACAGATACTAACTCCATCCCAAAAAACTTGACGTTTTAGTTTTGTCCTAAGTCAAACTATCTTAAGTTTGACCAAGTTTATGTAAAACAATATTTATATTTATATTAGTATCATTAGTTTCATCATGGAACATTTTTTTTATAGTGTGCCTATTTGATGTCATAAATTCTAGCAATTTTCTCTATAAATTTGGTCAAACTTTAAATAGTTTGACTTAAGATAAAACTAAAACTTCAAGTTTTTTGGGATGGAGGAAGTAATTAATATTACCAAACCAAAAAAGTTCAATGTAGGGCATATTATTATCAATCTCATTTGTAGTCAACAAAACCATGAAAATGTTTGAGACAGACAAGCATAAACTTATTACTCAGGAAATTACTATGATAAAACATTGATTCTTAGTTTTGTAATAAAACCACGGCATGCCTGAGCTTTCAGTAAAACATGTAAATAAGAAAGCATAATTAAAAATAGGATACAGAAGATCGGTTGCCTTACTTCACTCAGTGGGACGAAGGAGTAATTTGGAACAACTGAACCAGCTGAGTTTAAGAGAACCAGAGATTTTGCAAGAGAAGGCCATAAACCAGCAGCAATAGCACAGATATAACCTGAGAATGTTTGAGAAAGAGAATGACTTCATCAAGATTGTGTTCTGAATAGGGTTGCACATCAACTTAGCACAGATATAACTTCATTAACGTTGCGCTGTGCAAAAAAAAAATGTATTCCCATCATCTGTATAGAAAATTTTAAATATAATTCATGTACCTCCAATAGAGTTGCCAAGAAGATGAACAGGCTCCCTTACAATATCGACAATAAAGTCTCTCAGTAGTTCTGACCAGAAAAGTTCTGAATAGTTGACATTTGGTTTCTCTGATTTCCCAAAGCCAACAAGAGTAATTGCCCAAACTCGGTGGCCCATATCAGCAATCTTGTCTATATTGTCACGAAAATGCTCCAGGAAAGCTCCAAAACCATGCACAAGAAGAACAGCTGGACCTTCATTGCCAAGAAAGGTGTACTGCAGAGGGGGGTTGCAATTAGGAATTTGTGGTGAGCAACATAAATAAAGTTGTGTACATAGATAAATTTAGACAAACATCCACAACATGTATACAGTAAAGAATGGTTGAAATAATGAAATAAGGAATTTGCACTAACCGGCATAAATAAAGTTGTGTTTATAGTGATTTTAAATGCATAACCGCAGAAAGTAAGAAGACAACCTGTACAAGATAACCCTTCCATCTCCAAATTCTTATAGGATATTTCCCCTCGACACATACTTGGGATTTTGATGCCAAGAGCCAATACCACTGTCATGTAACAAATAGATTGTTAAGAGGCAAAAGAAAGTGATGCTTGGTTTGCTTAACAAATGAGCCCAATAGAGAAGGAAAAGGTATGACATTGAAAACAAGATAGGAAAGATATAAAATAAAAATACCTCCATCGAACATATAGCATCAACTGCTGCTGTCACTGTAGGTGTTGAGTACCCAAATGGTGATAGAAAACCTGCATTGCGATCTTTTTCATATTGAATAGTCTCCATGTAAGCTTTCCTCCTAGATATGACTCCAAGCTGAATTGCAGGACCAAATAAGATGTAGAATGAAGCACCATATCTGGTTTCAGCTAAGCGCACTTTATCATGCAGCCTGGATAAAGAGTTAAATCGGGTCAGATATGAAAACTCACTAAGAATTCATATAATACATTAATACCAATGACTCGATTACATGAATAAAATGAAAGACAAAGCCCCTGGTGAGAATTTAATTGAAGGACAAAATTAGTTGGTGATACATACTCTTGCCAACTAGCATTTCCTGTGCCTTCCAGGTATTTTAGGTAAGCAGACAAAGCATCCAAAGTAATATCTGTTCCACCCCTAACTTCCAGTGAGTTTTCTGATGCAAACATTGAGTTTATAATCCTCTTTCTTGATGAACCAGAATCCATGGTGATATCCTCTATGTTTTCTCCATTGCTGGTGCTTAATGTAGCATTACTTTTGATCTTCCTTTGACTGATTGTCTTTTTAAGAATAGATATTGCAGACATGCTCTTGAGAGGAGCCCAATTATCCTCTGGTGCTATGTCTTTCAGGAAACATTTTAATTCTTCCAGAGTGGGTAGAGGACCTGAATAGGAAATTATTATAGAGTAGCTAAGTGGGAACACAAAAATGTCCAAAGAAATGGGTAAAATAGCAGAGTGAAATACATCAACATCTTTAAACTTGTCCAGAGATGCCATGTAAGTCCTGGAACTATTGATTTGCAGTTTCACATCCCTGAACTTGCTAACATCCAAGGTCCAAACCCTCATAACCAGTGTTAATCAGCTTACTTGACATCCCTTCAGACCTGCTTCTGGGCTTATAAGATTTGCAGTTTCTGTGGGTGGAGCTTTTACAAAAGCTGGTTTCTTAGAAAAGCTCCTCCAGACCTGCTTCTGGGCTTATCAGATTTTATAGTAGTAAAGCCAGATTTTGCAGGCTTGTGGCTTCTCCAGAAGCTCCTCAGAAGCAGGCTACTTGTTTCAGCTTCTGGCTTCTGAGAAGCCAAAGCCACAGAAGCTCAAACAGACAGGGCCGTAGTAAGTTCATAGTCATGGAACTGGAAATTAATAGTTCGGGGACCAAGATGACACCCTTGAACAAGTTTAGTGACCACTGGTACATTTGACTCAATAACATATAATGCAGAAAGAATAGAATTAAAGTGCACCTGTGTCTAACTCCAAATTTAGAGCAGGCAAAGTTGCCGCAGCAAGAGGTGTGGCCAATGGTATTTTTTTCTTTAAAAATTCGTCATGTGATGTCGATACTGCTGCCAAATTCTAGTATAATGAGTACTTCAGCTATCAGCATGTCATATATATTTAAGTTAATAGAGGATAAAAGGAGAGGTTGTAATTAAATTACCTTATAGTCATACAATGGGGCACTCCAAGCCACTATCTTGGGAGGGCTTCCCCATGAGAATGACCCATTAGATAAAGATGATTCAACATTCGCCAGAACATCACACACTCTATATTCAACTTCTTCTTCTGTAAAAATGAGACCTGCTTGTACCTGTTATGCTCCACCAGTGCATGCAACATTGCAACCAGAAGATACTTATGTTAGATAGCTAGATGCGAACCTACATGTAAACTCTTAAGCTCAATGCTCAATATAAACCTTGCATAGTGACCTCATTCACAAGCTTCAGCACGACATCTTCAGCGTTTCCCAGGCCTATGAGCAAATCAGAATCTTGAGATTTCAACGCCATCTTAAGATCTTTCAGAGCACATAGCAGTAGTTCCAGCATTTTATCTGAATAGCCTGCAAGTGATGGGGGGAAATTATATAGATGCTTAGTTCAGTGATGCTACTAATTTTAACAGTGTGGAACTAGGGCTGGTAACCAACAAGTCATTAACAATTAACAAACCCATCCTAATTCTGCCAAACAAACTATAGGAAAAATAGCAAACAAATGAGTTTAAGATGTCCTATAAAAGATGGACACAGTTGCTGTGCAGTCTGTAGTATGCTGCAACTTAGACAATTGCACTACCAACCATCAAAACCAAATCCAACAGCACTGAAAAAAAAAATGTAGCAAATCACTGTGCCCCACCTGGTAAGTCATTGTAACGATCCTACTGTAGCAGGAAATCTAGAACAATAGGCTGAGATTGCATGCAGTCTTAACTTGTGATCTTAGCACTTTTGGTCCGGGATTTTGGTGACAATACTTCTCTCAAGAAGCAGCAATTACAATGCAGTCCAAGACAGAAATGGTTTCAACATCTAATAGCTTTTGATGCAAAGCAGCACATGTTTAATGCCACTAAACTTCACGGTAGCAAAAGGAGCGAGTTCCACAGTGATGGCAGACAGCCCGGACTATTACTTCGAGTTAGCAATGGACACTATGCATGCTCAGTGTTCAACTTCAGCTTTGGCACCACGCTGGACGCACGAGAGACAGGTACAGAAGCAGCACGGACACAAAGCCCATCACACCGCGCGCACTATTCACAAATCCCACACCCCAACAGTCAACCGGATCGGACGTCTAGCACCAACACAAGCAACATACCGGCGAGGATGCGTCGGTCAAAGACGTAGAGCGGCACAACGGGGCGCCGCGGCTCCGAGACGGCGGCGGCGAGGCCCGGGTGGTCGTCGATGCGGAGGTCATGCTTAAACCACACCACCGCAGCCGTGCCCCCGTCCCTCACGGGGGTGGCGGCATTGGAGACGATGATCCGGCCCTGGCATCGGTTACGCAGGATCGGACGGCGGTGGGGCGGGGCTGGGAGAAGCGGCCCGAGACGGAGCGCGAACAGAGCCATGGGAGGGGCTGCGCGGAGGCGTCAGCGGTAGCAGCAGCAGCAGCCATAGGCGGGGAAGAGCGGGGATAAGAAGGGCGGGGCTAGGGCGCGCCCATGGCGAAATTGTGGCGGAGGGCGGCTGCACGGAGTCGTGCGTGAATTTTCTGTGGCGGAGGACGGCGGCCACTTTGGCCAGTGCAGCGGTGGGGCTCCGCAGCCGCAACCGTAGGTCCGCAGCAGAGACCAGGAGGGAGGGAACGCGCAACAGAACAGGAAGCGCAGGTCGTCTGGTCCGCACTCCGCCGCAGCAGAGGCCAGGGGAAACGCGCAGCAGAGCAACTCTCAGCAAAGGGGAAACGCGCAATAGAACAGTGGGGTCGCGGGGATGAAAGAGACTTTTAATTACGACCCATTATAAAAGTTTATAATTCTTTGCCACAGAAATTTTAGCTACCTTTTTTGTTTTTCGCGCAAATTTTTCGGGTCCTATGTGCCATTTCCATCAGTTTAGAGCGTGATGGTCGGTAACGGAGGGATAGAACGACCTTTTGCCCATGTGTCCAGGCATTAGGAGCAGAATTTTCCACTTGCCCTTATGCCATGCGGGAGTCTAGCATTCTGGTGGGATAAAATGTGCTATGCATTTTCTCTCAGTTGCAGCATGTCATTAATTGACATCCAGTTACACAGATTCAGAAACCAGAACAACAAATTTGACAAACCAGTCACGAAAAATTCACAAATCATAACAGCATTTCACAAACTAGTCATGACATAGGCCAGACCATTGTTTTGGTCATGCACAGACCACTGTTTTGGTCTTACAAAATACAGGTTATGGTCAATAGACAAACCACATGAGTTACAAAATATCTGGAGTTTTGAGTCATCCCACAGACAACAACTAAATGTCAAGCTTCATTTTGCTTCTGGTACCCATAGCAGGACTATCTGGAGTTATAGATACTTGTCGGTGTTTCGAACAAGCACCGGCTAGTAAATTTATGGTGTGCTAAAGGACACAAGGTTTATACTGGTTCGTGCCGAATGTCTCTACGTCCAATCTGTTGTTGCTCGTGTTATTAGCACTGAAAGCGAGTTCGTAGTAGGGGGTACAAACGGTCGAGAGAGGGACTAGTCCCAGGTCTCTGATGGAAGGGTCGAAAGGAGGCCAAGAGCCTGGTGGCGGCTTGGCTGTGTATGTGAGTTGAATTGAACTCTCTATGAGTTCGTCTGTATGTGAGTTGTCCGTTGAAAGTCGGTTTCTTCCGTCCCCCTTTAGTGGGGAGCCCTACCCTCCCCTTTATAGACGAAGGGGGAAGCAGGGGTTACAGATGGGTGAAAATAGAAAAATACCAAGGGTATAGAAGGTCCTTCGACGGGCCCGGGTCTTCCTTTTCCTCCAAGCCAGCTTTGTAGACACGGCCAGCTGGTGTCAGAGGTTGGCACGTTCGCCGGGCGCCTGTGTGCTGATGATGTTGCGCCTTTACCTGATCTGCAAGTGGTCACGTCCCGTCCCGCCCCCGCGGGCGACGTGTCGGGCCGAGACGTTTCCCCACGACCCTGTGGAGAGCGGATGGTGCGGTGACCGCTCGTTCGTTATTGTAGAGGACGGGAGTCCCTCCTTGGATTGTATTGGTTGTCCTATGTTGATGTCTGGTTCCTCACCCGGGGGCTGAAGGCGGCGCCTACAACACTGTAGGCCAAAAAGTACGCACCCACAACACTATTCAGTTCCTGCCATACCTAGAAGGGTCTAAAGCACCCGTCTCGTTGTGCTCTGACAGTACTTTCCTGCAGCGGCGCAGGGCATGGTCCTCGATGTCGCGGTTTGACCTGAACGTCTTGTCTTACCCTGTGCCTATCATCATGAGGGAGCGGGGTGCGGTTGTTAGGTGAGGCGGAGGCAGCCTTTGGACATCGGGCGAGGCGAGGTCCGTTAGGCGAGGCGGAACCTAGCCTTCGGAGGTCGGGCGAGGCGGAGCCCAGCCCTCGGGGGTCGGGCGAGGCGGAGTCTAGCCCTCAGCCCTCGGGCGAGGCGAAGCTAGCCGACGGGCCTCGGGCGAGATGGAACCAAAACTCCCGTCGTTCGGGCAAGAAGCGCAGCGGTGCTCTTGTTCGTTCAGGATTTTTTAACGTTCGATGGTTATTAGTTCTATCTCCTTGGGTACCCCGGTATTAGGTTCCCGACAGTAGTCCCCGAGCTCCCGGGTGGTTTGGGCAGAATCGCCCGGGGGGTGTTTCGATTTTGTCGGAGTTAGTTCGTCAGAGGGTGCGGCGTGGCGCACCCGATGGGTGTAGCCCTTGAGCCCCCGGGTGATTTGAGTAGAATCGCCCGGGGGGTAGTATCGGAGTCAATTCATCAGAGGGTGCGCGTGAGCGCACCCGGTGGGTGTAGCCCCCGAGCCCCCGGGTGATTCGGGTAGAATCGCCCGGGGGTAGTATCGGGCCCTCCGCGGGTAAGGCCGTAAGACTCGGCGTTTCGTTGACTATTTTTCTTTTTTTTGTGGTATCCTGTTCGTGGGGTTTTCATTCAGGGCTGGCCTGATTGGGGCTTTGACTGCGGATCGAGGCCTTGGTCGTTTTGCGGGCCCATCCCTCGTTGGGACGGCCCTTGGGCTCCGGAGTCCTAGGTGGGCCAGAGAGAAAGAGCCTTGTGGCCCGTATTCCCTTGGTGGGAGGAGAGTCCTGGTCCGCCTGGGGAAGGCGAACCGCTCGACGCGACTTTGACGGGAAGGGATAGGGATCGCGTGCGCGTGTCCCGCGACGTGACGCGACGGTGCGCATGGCAGGCCCAGAGATCGAGGCAGACTGTTGCCCTTTTCGCATCCGTCACCCCTATTAAACCATGGGGTTCGCCCCTAGGGTTCCGTATTTCTCCCCCTGGCCTTCACGTCCGAAACCTCCGCCGCCAATCGCCCTAGCCTCCTGCGCCCGCACCGCCACCATTGTTGAGTTCGCCTTTAGCGTCGCAGCCGCCGTTAAGCTCACGCCCACCTCGCAGTTGTTGTTGAGCTTGCGCCCACCTTTCTTCCCGATGCTTCAATGGAGCTGTGGGGCAGATCCGGCGTTACCTCTCGGCGTTTGGAGGGTCTTGTCTGCCGCGGCCTTCTCTGCCCTCAGTCCGCCGTCACGGAGTGGTTGCTGCCTGGTGAGGAGGAGGCGCCGGCGCCGCCCGAAGGGTACGTTGTATCTTTTGCTATCTTCCATGAGCGGGGATTTGCTGTTCCCGCGCATAGATTCCTTCGGGGGCTGCTGGATTATTACCAGGTGGAGTTGCAGCATCTTACTCCCAATGGGGTTCAACATATGGCGGCGTTTGTTGCCTTGTGCGAGGGTTTCCTAGGGATCGATCCCCACTTCGATCTGTGGCGGCACTTCTTCACCGTCAGTCTGTCGAAGAGGCGGGTTGGGGGAAGGAGGTGAATATGCCGATGGGATGCGCCAGCATTCATTTGCGCCATACCCCGTCGAGGGGCTACCCGTTGATGCGTCTGTCGACCTCCAACAAGGGGTGGCATTCGTAGTGGTTTTACGTCAGGGATGATGTGAGCGTTCCCCTACCGAAGTACACTGGGCGCCTCATTGAAGAGGCTCCGCAGTCATGGCAGTGGGGCGTCCTGACTAAGGAGAAGAAGCACATCACAGACCTTCTCGCCGCCCTCCATGCTCTGAAGGAGCGGGGTGTGAAGGGGTCAGGGATTATCGGTGCCTACCACGAGAGGAGGGTGGCGTCGCTGATGGCGCGCGTGCTTCCCCTACACCAGATGGTGCCTGGAGCGTCGTTCGAAGGGACGGTGCTCCTCGATGAAGCGCTTCCTCCCTCCGAGGTGGCGCAGCGCATTAAGGAGGCGATGGAGTCCTCGAAGGACACCACCGGCGCCGCCCTCGACCATGTGTATCCGGTGCCAGGGCATCCCCCAATGCGTCCGGAACCAGGGTTTTTTGAGTTTGTAAGCCTTCTTTCCCCGCGCTCCTCTTTTTACTTTGAACCTTTTGACCCTTTAATGCTGACTCCGAGGTGTTCGTGGACCAGCCGAGGAGGCTAATCTTCAAGGATAGTCCAGCCCCGATGCCGAGGGATCGGGTGCTAGCGGCATCGAATCATAGTGCGGCCGAGTGGGACAAGAAGACAAGGGAGCTCAGGAAGCAGGAGAGGCGACGAAAGCAGGAAGCACGGAATCGAGGAGAGGATGTAAGCAGTGATGATGATGACGACGACGACGACGATGATGATGATGATGATGATGGTGACGAGGTAGCTGGCGACATGGATTGGGGTGTCCTGGAGGACGAGGGCACACTGACGAGTGCCCATTTGTCCATGCAGGAACCCCTCCCATTCCGCGCGGAGGAAAGTGAGTGTGTGAGGTCGGCGGAGGTGGGAGCCAAAGAGTCTGCCGCTTTGCGCGGAGTACCGGCAGAGAATCGATGGATGGGGGGATCCGAGGAGGTCCCCAAGGTGCTGATGGAGGGGGGCAGCTCCGACGCCATGCCCCGTGAGCTGATGGAGGGGGACGGCTCTGGTGCCGCGCCCCAAGAGCCGATGGAGGGGGTGGCTCCGGCGCCGCGCCCTCGAAGTTAATGGAGGGGGGCGGCTCTGGCGCTGCGCCCTCAGAGTCAAGGGAGATGAGCCCCCCTGCCTCAGAGCAGGGGGCATGCTCGAAATGGTCCCGCCCATATGAGTTGGAGTAGGGGCCCGGGGGTTTGTCCCCGAAACGTACCCGCCGCCCAAAAATGTCAGAGTACGTCACCGATTTCCCTCGTTTTCTCCTTTTATTTTTCTGTTCTGATCTTACGCTTTTTCTATTTTGTAGATTCTTGCGACGGGGTCACCCTCTGGGGCTGGTGCCCAAGAAGAGCCTTGCCCTTCAGGCGGGACGGATAACGCTGCCCGGCGTTGCCCCCATTTCAAGCGCCGTGGTTGCGGCCTCGTTGGCCGGTCCAGCGGTGCCTGTGGTGACGCCCGTGCCCTTAGTGGTTTCTGAGCAGACGACTGCGACTGCACCAAGCTAGGAGTA